TTTAGAGAAGTTACTCCTCCAAGGAATGTCATCTCAGCTGAATGGGCAGGACCAAAACCAATTTGCGTACTGTCGCTCTCGCTCTACCCTAGATGCCCTAGCTTCTCTGGTTCACTACATTCTGTCAGCACTTGACGGAAACAAGAAGGCTGTCAAAATTTGTTTCTTGGATTACAGTGACGCCTCCAATTGTGTTGATAGATCTTTGCTGTTAAATATTTTGTCTTCCCACGGAATATCGCAAACTATTACTGCAGTACTCACCAACTATTTCATAAATTGATCACAGTTCACACGTTACCTTGGTCGATCCTCCTCTTCCTTACTTTCTACACAGGGCGTATTACAGGGTGCTATTCTATCTCCGTTCTTCTTTTCCACTTACATTTCATCTATGCCTACTTTCCAAAACTCCCTGCTTATTAAATATGCGGACGATGTTGTGGTCGGAATTACCCACCCTGATGCATCTGTCACCCCCACCCTCCAACTTGGCCTTACCAACCTTGCTCAGTGGTCTACTGAGCATAACTTAACTCTTAATCCCTCTAAATGTGTAGACATGTTGTTCTCACTTCACAGAACCGTTATGCTAATCTCTTGGAATCTTGTCCCCCTTTGAACATAGGCAATGACACTATTGCCCAACCCCTAAACATCTAGTATCTTGGTGAGTTAATAAACCGAAACGTATGTTGGTCTGACCAAGTTGTCTCTGCATTTGTAAAGGTCAGAAAACTATCATTTTATGTCTTACGACTGAAAACATTACCCGTCCCTCGCTTCTTGAGTAAACGTTTCCTTTTTGCTTGTATTTTATCCCTATGGTTGTATGGGTCCCCAGTAATCTTTCAAGGAATCCTCAAAAAAGACTTTAAACTGCTTGCCAGATCATTAACACATTCATCAAGAAGTAGCGGGATTTCCCGTGAAACTATCTGTCACTTCATTATTTCTCAACATACAAAGTCATGTTTTTCGTTTTCAACAAAAATCATGGAGAACCCTTCACATCCATTACATCAAGATCTTATCAGGTCTTTCCTCCTCTTCCACCTGGTCCCGTTATAGGTGTATATTTGCTCGTACGACCGCTTATCGGTCTTCTGTGGTGCCTTATCTTGCCCGATTTCTTGTCAGCGCAGAAAGCATTGCTTCGGACCTTTACTCAGTTATCTCGTAAATTGTTTTCATTTTCACTGCTCACGATAATTATGTTATAGTTTTGTTCGACAATTGTTAGATGACTATGTGACTGCTGAATATCCACCTTTCGGGGTGCGTAAAACAAATACTTGACTTGACTTGAATATGACACATATGCGTTGTAGTATATGTACACTCACCCCATATGTGGATGGAAAGCCCCGTCAAAAAACGATTTACCCTAAATTCAACTATCCACATACCGGGTCATGAATTCCGTCGTAGAGATGAGCTGTCGCATTGCCGTGGACACCTTCTGGATGGCAAGTAGTTCCGCCTTTTTCGGCTCAGCCCCACAGTTCTCTTCCGCACAGATAACCGGCAGGTCTCGAAGAATGAATGGGAGAATGGCCTGGAGAATGACCTGTGGGTAGAAGAACGGATTTGAGACCACACCAAATATTGGGGAGAGATACGCAAACGCGAGATAGTATAACATTGGTATGACCGAATGGTAGTAAAGGACGGTGTGGTGACCATTCAGTAAACACATCAATGTTCGAGAACTGCGTTAAATTCGCAGTACTACTATCTACTCCAAACTAAAATGAACTTACTAGCATTTGCCTGGCTCTGTACGAGTCCGGCGCATAAACGATGACAGTGACACACAAATTGATGGCATCCAAAACAGACCAATTCGCATCGTCATCTTCATAACAAAAGTCCTGTTAGGGAGAGCAGAGAGACAGATGCAGCAGGAGTATGCTGATTTAAATGCGATATTTGACGGAAAACCGCCAGACTCGAAAGATAGTATTCGTGAAAGACAATTATAAGATTGAAGTGAATGAGCTTTAGACGTACCTTCAGTCTCTGCGGGTTCGCTGTAGTATCTTTTGACCAATATAACCGACAAAAGAGTTATCACCAAATAATTTAACTAACATTATTTAACTACTTAAACTTAGCAAATGATATTATGATGAAGGTGAAAATCTTTCAAGGTTTACTATTCTCATCCCATCGTTAACGGTGTTATCCAATCACCCAATCCAATGAGCACCCAGTATAATAGAGCTCGTTTGATGATTAAAAGATCGTAACATGCATTTCGCGCAAAAAATCAACCAGTCTCCTTAATCTTCGGAAACCCGAAAATGGACTCGACGATAACAGACTCGTAATTGTACTGTTGGCCATAAAAATGAGGATACCAGTGAACCGAAACAATTCACGCACAAGTCTCTTCCGCTGCTTTGAGTTGTGCGCATGAGACGAGCTGATTTAAGCGAACGGTAGTTAACTGACCTTGATTCACGTTCGCAGCTCCATACCTACGGAGTTTAGCTGACAGCCTTGTCACGCAAAGGAAGAAACAAAAAGGGCTATCTCCATCGTTCCGGTTAGGAATGAATGCGAGGGGATAGCAGTTAGCTATTTGGCAGTTTATAGGTGTGTGGATAGCCTGTAATTTCATCACTGAAATATCAAAAGTACCATAGGCAAACCAAAATATATGATTTCTTAGTTGTTAACATCATACAAAGAAACCAGTACATGTTGCAATCTTTTTGGTCCGGATATACGTTGGTGGTAATGGTTTTTCGAATGAATGACTACCATCGAAATACACGCCTCGATTGGACGCTGCGATACTGGCGAGGAAGACAATGGGGTTACGTTGTACGGAACGACGAAGCAAAGTTTTAACCACGGAATGAGCTTATTGACATTTTTAAATGACAGGGGTTCTGTTATGGTGTGTGGATGTGTTTACCTTTGTGTATGCTTGACAATAGGAAAGGTACGTTCTTGCCTTGAAGGTGATGTGACAGCAAAGTGCTTTCTCCGCAGACATCATACTATTCTTCTTTGAAGCCTTCTGCCTGCTCCAGAACACAGAATATTATCAGAATAACGATGATACGTGCCGAATGCGAAGGAAGGTCAATTAAGTTTCGTTTATTTAACATCCGGTCATTTAA